GATACTTTTGGTAGGTTGGTTGGCACGGATCATTGACCAGCCAATGACCCTTGTAGCCCGACCCTTGGCCTGCACAGGCCTATGGCTGCGGCCCATTGCCGACTAAGTATTCTTCAACCCTTTTATATTAGTAAAATTCTCATTTGCGAAGCATCTTCAATTCCAAAAAAGGAGTGCTAAAATTGTCAATTTGGATTTTGGGCGAGCATCAACCCCACCCCCCACCACACAAAAAAATTCCCCTTGGGAGAAAAAGGGGAAATAATGGTCAGCAAACGTTAACTTCACTGCAATTTAGGAAGCAGATATGTACTCTTACAAATAGAAATTCTAACACAACACAACTACACCCGAGATGATAATCATTGAATTTGGGGTAATTTGAATGGTATTGAAATGGGTTAATCATCATCCGTCTGTACTTTTGAGATCACTCACAGCCACAGCCACAGCCACCTATTTTCAGTAAACAGCAAAAAATGTACTAAACAGACTCTGCACAACTAAAACCTTGCAGCTATATTCTTTGTCTTTACCTTCTGGAAAACAAACAAAAAAACTCTCACCTAAAATGCTGCTTCTCCAAATATTGCAATTCTTCTCACCACCATGCAGTAAAGCAAACAGTAAAGAACATCAGCAGTGTGAAATACAACTTTACATATCCACGAACAGTAGATGCTGACGAAGTGGTTTCCTGTGGCCTGAAATATAAACAAAGTGGTAAGGGGCAGGTCAAGAGCTGACACAATGCACGCACACACACACACACACAGAGATAAGGAGAGTTTTGTTATCATACTTTTGCAAGTGGGCGAGGGCACCGCAAAAAAGAGCATTATCAGGAACAGGCAATTCCGTTTTATTGCCAGTATCTTCAGGGTTGATAATTCTCATATATGTCTCTTGGCCTAGATACCACCTGTCAAGGTTTTCTGCTCTAAGATTCCACACTCCAACGTTGTCAAGAGATATCATGATTGCCGTCCATCCACCAGAGAAAACCTTAACACAGGAGAACAGCATAAATCAAGGGAAGATAATGTTCAATACTGACCACAGATGAAAAAATTAACAGATAATTTTACGGGCTGTGTAGCTCTATATCTAACACCAATCAAAAAAGGCAAGTCCACTACATGTTAGATGGAGCATAAAGAAAACAAAGCGCCAGAAACAAAATATATTGTCAAGTTGTTAGAACAGTTTATCAATCAAACTTCAACAATGTTTGATTGATAAGCTAAAAACTTGGCCGGTAGGGTTCTTATTGCCTTCTTTTTTGAACCAAATGATCTGGTTCGAATATGTTCGATAATGTGATGAATACTGTGAACCAAAAAAACTAGGGCACAAGTTTTCCTTGTCCTTGGATGGCAAATCATAAGAACTGAAGAAGTAGTTCCCTAGGAACAAACCTGTGTAGTGCTGCGAGATATTGCATCCCACTTATTATATGAGCCCCTGCTATTTTCTGTCCATTCCCCATAACCCATCCTGCATTATAATAATCACATTATCGAAAAGCACAAGTTGTCATTCACATTTAATTGCTAATGACGCTTAGATAAGAACTATACCCGACCACAAAAAACGAGTAACCATCTATGTGGAAGCTCTGCACTACTGTGTCATTGTTCTGCAATACAACTTCTATAAATCCCTTGTATGTAGCATTAATAATGGATATGTCAATCTGGGGAGTTCTGTTCATTGGCTTGGTCGGGAAATCAAGCTTGTAAGCACCCTTCACTTTGAATGAATCTGCAAGCCTAATTGGAGTATCAGGGTTGACAAAAGAAATCCCATTAAATGTAGCTTTCAGTTTCCCATCAATCATCACAGGTGGCACACTCTTTAATATATAGTCGTCAGTAACATTGATTGAACCATAATGAAAAGAACCCTGTGGATTGGGACGAGCGCCACTTGCAGATACGTTTTGCCTGATCAAATTGAATATAGAAATATGTTAATCAATAGATTTAATACATAATATTTAACAAGAATCTTAACGAAAGTTGAGAGAGAGAGAGAGAAGATGGGGGAGCAAAATTTGAAAGTGACAGAATTCTATTATTGAGAAGGAAATTAGAATTTGGTCATCAATCACAGCAGTGGGCGCCAACAGATTTTAAGACAATTCTTAATTTCTCGAGAAGAATATGAAAATTGTGGCCACAAATATCTTATGATGGCGTTTATAATGATTAAAAGATACTAGTCTTCTTCTCCAGGACATTTTTCTTCCTGGTCAATGCCCTTCTCATAGAAATGATAGGACAACCAGCGTTACTTCCGAATCAATTTCAACTTCTCATCATTAACTGCCATTTACGGAAGGTTTTCACAAACCCTTGCTGTATAACATCTCTCTCTGAGAAGGTCTGCTTTCTATCCAAATAAATTGTCAGTGTCAATTTAAGACATGTTCATCTCTCTCCTTTTTGAAGAAAATCTGCCAAATTCGTTGTTAAATACCAATTCTTGGAAACCTTAAAGTTCAAGGAAACGGAAAAGAGAAAAACTACAGTGAATATCTGTCACAAGCAATGGTAGGGATACACAAATAAAGTAAATTCATTATAAGAGGTCCAGGAGTTGATTGCAAAAATTAAGAGCCCACAAAAAATGATGGGAACCAACCTGATGGACATTGCCTGGTTCAATGCATAGGATGTGTCATAAACATCATTTGGAGGGTCGGGGAGAGGCCAGTTACCTTTCCTTTGGAATTGGAATAGTGCAAGACAGCAACACCCGTAACTCTTTGCCACACAGTCTGATTCACAAACCTAGCACTTGCTACAATGTAATAATCACTACTAGCATTCTGATCCATGGTAACGAGAAAAGAGTAAGACTGCCCAACATGGATATCGATGCTTGTATAATTTTGTTGCGAAGTGTAATATCCCTCTGTTTCAGCCAAGAGCAAATTATGGCTCTGGATTCGGAAGTTCAAACAAGTTGAGACTCCAACATTGTGCACACGGATTCGATAAGTTTTGCCTGCAGTACCATCACCCCAGCCATTACAGGTTAAACTTAAAGAAGCTCAAAACTGTGCAAGAGAAAAAAATTCGATAACAAAGGACCCTTATAATGCAAAAAATAACTAGATATGTATTTAGCCCAGGTTTAATTCAATAATATTTTCCAATTCCCAGTGGGTTCACTTATAAAACGTCTACATCCTATCCTTCAGGGTGAGGGAATGATTTATTTGAAAACCGTTTGCCATAGACTTCAATTCAAGACTTTAAGGGCCCCAAAAATGAAAAAACAGCATTTTTCCTATTAAGTCACATGTAATGATTGTCCTGTTCAGGAGTGCATAGCAGAAACCGCAATGAAAGAGATATAACTCAAGAACACACTTGTATAGAAGCCAGCTGCACAGACATGACAAATAAAAACAATATATTAATGGCACAGGGACAAGCTAGTCTACAGCACTTCCAGTATGTGAACATTCAGCATCTGTTATAGTTATTAGCACAGCAACAAGCCAATCAATCCACTTAAATGGTTGCCAAACACTGTGCATCTAACCCGTTGAATGGGTTATGGGCATCTTAGAACAACGTAGAAATCAAAGTGTTTATCTCCAAACAATTGAGCACCAGTGTGTTGAGTAAAAAGGAACCACCAACAAATCAACAAAAATAACAGTGGTAGTCAGTTCATCAAATTGTCCAAGTTTTCCTCGAATGCTCAGGAAAATAAGTAGAATCAAATCAAATGCAGCAATCCTGAAAGACGTAACATCAATGTCTTGGAAGCATTACCTGGGTCAACATTAATTGTTTCATAATCAATACCATCTGGGACAAGCGTGGAGTTGTATCTGAAAGGACCCTTCCCATTAATGAGAACCCCATCTGGCATACCAAGGTCGTTTCCAGCATCAAGGGATTTCCTCAGTGCCTAACATAAAAGAGAGCGAGCATTAGATGGCACCCCGAAAAAAAATCAGAGTTGAATCGAGTGTTCCCAACATAACATATACCAACCGTATGGTTTCGGGTATACCAGTCACCAATAATGATGACTATATCCCCATCAGGCGTATTGAAAGGCAGCGGGATGATGTTACGGTTTGTAATTATAAAAGAACCAAAGCCACCAGCTGCTCTCTGAAAATTGAGAGAGGGGAAGTAAAAAAAGCTACCAATCTGATCCTTAACCTGAAACTGGTACGTCCAATTCCATTTTGGAGGGATTGGGCAATTTGTACCAAGAACACCATCTTGCCAAGAAGAGCGGCGCATTTGGACTCCAGACCTGTCAAAACCCAAAGAATCCCAAATCTATTAAAAAACACTTTCGAAAAACAACAATTTTCAAGGAAAAAAAATAATTGGCGATTAAATAGATGAGATATTGAAACTTACCAAGTAATGAGAAGATTCTCATCCAATTTGTTCTTCACATTTACCACAACATTGTAATTAGTAGTAACATTGAGAGTAGGTCCTGGAAACTTCCATTAACTGCTATGACCTAAAATAGAGAACAAAAACAGAATTAACATTTTAGTAACGTATCTTCTTCCAGATGAGCTACACCTATTATCTGGGCAAAAATATACTAAGAATGAAAAAGGAAAAGAACAAAATCAAGAAGCACAGACAGCTCAAATGGAACTTGTAAACCAAATCATCTTCAGCAATGCTGAAAATAAGTAATCTGATTCAACAACGTGCACAGATTACAGGCATAAACATGAAAAAACATAAATAAATGACCCATTTATCAAAAAATAGAAAGTAAAAGTAATAAGAAAATACCATAACTCAGGACTGATCCATAAATGAATACCCCATCTACTTCATTAATAGCCACTTCCTTGTTCAACATAATTTACAACAATATCCAAAACTGACTACAAAAAATACAAAACACCACAAAATTATACGCCAAAATCATTCATAGTGACACCTGCGGTCCCTCTTGGTGCCCAACCCACTCTTTGACTCAGCTCTATCTACAACATCAATCGTAAGTTACTGCCAGGAAAACCATTAAGAACGCAAAATAGAGATTGTCATTACTCAAGAATAGCATTTGGTACACTAATCCCTTTCACCAATACCCTAGTCCCAATTTCAGTATACTATACAAAACAGAGTTTCAATGTTGGAATTCTAAGCAATCGTTGTTGTTCATTGGAAGATCAACTCTGTTCTCGCCCCTTAACGTCTGGTACGATTGCCACTCTGTCTAGACGTTGTAGAGAATTGAGAATTCTAAGTTGTTTCAGACAAAATAAAAGATGAGTAAATACATAAATGTATATTCGTTTATAAACGCGTATTGTAACCTTAATCTCTTCCACTGATAATGAACCCCATTTTCTAATAAGAACAACGTGCAAACTCATGGAAAAAAGCCACCGATTCGTGCTTATTTCAAGAACTAAAAAGTAAGAAACCACTGGAATTCTCACGAGAAAAAAACAGTCCCACATGAGAAAACATACACGGACACAGAGAGGGAGAGAGAGAGAGGGTAGGGACCTGTTGAGGAACAGCGAGTGGAGAAACAGTGATGTAAGAGAGCTCTAAGTCGAAGTTGGCAAATGGGTCCGCGGCGAATGAAAGATTCGTGAGGTTGAAGAGCAAAACAATGCGAAAGAGTGCAGAAATGTGGATTAAAAGTGACCCCCTAATCGACGCCATGTCTCAGGATGCTAGTTTTTGCGATGAACTCTAAACTCTCTGTCCACAGAGAGAGAGAGAGAGAGAGAGAGAGAGAGTAAACTGCTTGGGCCTCTCCAAGTTCCAGCCCTAAATGCTCCCAATTCTGGAAATGTGCGGCGTAAAGCGCGTTCAATGACTGGTAACGGCTTGAAACTGCTTTTTCTGGGAATCGTTTTCCCTCCATTATGGAAAATTGAAGAACTTTTATCCTATCTGTCTAACTTTTTAAAAAAAAATTAATTTTTCAAATTTATTTAAATTACAGATATATATATATATATATATAACAAAAAAATGTGTCAATCTCTTTTAGCTATGCAGAAGAAAATAATAAAGTTACCTTTACAAAATTTGTTTATTAAATTTTCTATTCCAAATAACACGGCACTATATTATTATTGTATTTTAGTTTTAAATTATAGTGACCGGCTATGGCCGGTCATAAAAGAAGGGTGAGAAACACGAGGGAGTGAGTGAGACAGCCAATCGACAGTCAGCTATTTTAATTTTGCATTTGGGCTCGCCGTCTCTGCCCTTTCTTGATGGATTTACGCCCAAAAGTCCCACTCGGTCAGGTGTGTAGCCCCCACTAACCCAAATCCATTTGATTATCCACTATTTAATGCCCTTTTGTGCTGTGTGACTGTATTATTCATGCCTGTATCCGTATACGGTATCTCTATTGACATTTGTTTTTATTATAATCAAATTGAACCTATCGAGTTTTTTTTTAAAAAATAAGTTTAAAAAATGAGAAATATTGTAAGGACCTAATAATATGGTTTCAATGCAAACAGTAGAGTAATTATGATTCTAATGTTAAATGGAGTCCAAAATCAATTATATAGTTGTACATTATTAGGTTCTCAAATTAGATCCAAATAATATTTTATTTAAAAAATTATTCAAATTCGACTCCCTTAGAATGCAAGCCGAGCTCAAAATAAGTTAAACTCGAGCCAAGTCTAAAATAAGTCAAATTCATGCCGAGTATATGACTAACTTGACCATTTTATATATAAATAAATATAGTTATGCGAGCTCGAGACGAAATTTTTTAGGGTCGTTTTTTAAATAAGCCTACAAAATTATTCAAGCTCAATTCATTATCAAGTTTTATTCGAGTCGAGCCTAAATCAAACTCGAGTAACTCGTTCTATTATCAACCCTAAACTATGGTATCTTAAAAAAAAAAAAAATTGTACCATTTTACTTACCATTTTTTTAAGACATTTATACTATTTTTTGGGGGTGAAATATACTAATTTTTTAAATTCACTTATTATTTTATTAGTTTATTTACTATTTTTAAAATTTGATTTCCATCAATTTGATTAGTGGCCCCACCTATTCCCCTTGACCTGGTTCACCTTGAGGGATGTCAGGTTTAGCTAATTGTTTTCTGCTTAAATTAATTAATTCAGGTCTAGTAACACAAAGGATAAATATTATTTAATTATAGGCATAGGAAAAAAAAAAGGGAATGTGACAGAAATAATTTTAATTTCAGAGGGAAGCAACCTGAACTATTTAGGTTGCTTCCCTAGACTTTTTGAAAAACTGCAAATTGTCCCGATATATTCATGGCCCAATTGAATTTCTTGGATTTGTCATGCATTTAACAATAAAATAATTATAAAGCAAATCACTTTGCCCCTGGAATTAATTCAAAGGTTATATTGTCATTTGATATATTAGCATACTAGTTATTACATGTGCCCGAAGACACAAAATAATAAAAAATAGTAAACAACAAACATAAAGAAGAAATAAAGAAATTTAAGCATCGATTTGTAGTGGGGGGTGAGAGATGGTGGGTGGCAGTGGTGATGGTAGGAGACAATAATAGTTGTGGTGGGGCGACAATGACCGTGGTGGCGATGGTGAGGGCGACAACGGTGATGGTGGTGGCGACGACAACGGTGATCACAGCGATGGTGTCGACAGCGACGGTGATGGCGGGGGGTAGTGGTGGCAGTGGCAGTGGTGGTGGTGGCGGTAGCGATTAGTGTGGGGGCGATAGTGGTGGGGGTGGCGGCGACGATGATGGTGGTGGTGGCGATAGCGGTGGCAATGGTTGTGGAGGCAGCGACGATGACGGTGGTAGTGGTGGGGGAGTGGGAATGGTGGCGGCGATAGTGGGACGGTTTTAAACACTATTTTTTTAAAAAAAAATTATGAGAAATAATTTTCTAAAAATATTTTTAAAAAATCACTTCTAACATATTTTTATGAGCATATTTTTTCTATTAAATCTAGAGTGTTAATATTAGTCGTTAGATTAACTTTAAAGTAAAATTTAAAGCGATGTCAACTGCGAATAGAAAAAGTCATTTTGTTTATCTTTTGAGATTTGAATTTTAAGCTACTTTATTATATAGATTGAACGAGTTTAAAACTGATTTTTTTAGGTAAAAATCTAAGATATGAAACACTATGCAAAAACAAATATAAAAAATTCAAAATTAAAAAAATCTCTCAAAACCGTTTGGGTTACTTTTTAAAAAGTTAAAAAAGCCTGTGTTGGAGTTATTTTTTAACTTTTTGGCTTTTTTTGTTTCAAAATAAAAAAAATAATTATATGTATGTATAAATTATGTATAATAGTTCCCAATATATGAATTTTAATTTTTTGTACACTAGAAATAATATTTTGTGAGTATAATAAATTGTTAACTAATGTAAAACTCGTAAAATTTTTTTTAAAAATTAAAAAAAAAACTTATAAAATCAATTTTTTGAATCTGCCTAAATATGAACTCGAATTTTAATTTTATAACCGTATCATACCATAAGATGCTCAAAGAAAAAGTAAAATATTCCTTAAAAAAGTATCATTTAAAATATAAGTTGCTGAAAAGAGAAAAAGGAATAGGTGAGAAACATAACAGATTTCTGTGGATACCCAAAAAATATCCATAAAACAATTCAAAATATTATGTTTTGTTTACAGATACCCAAAAAAAGTCGTGCAAGGAAAGGATATTATATTTAACTAAAGCAGAGACATATGCCATGTATTAAGGAGCAATTGACTGCTTTGATCCCGCAAAAAGGTTTGAAATCAAAGAAGCAAGTCATTTTTAATTTTTAGATACCAAATATGTTATGTACCCAACCTAGTGGTTCATTCAAAGTATCAGCTACAACTGAGACTGATTCTTTTATTAATGAGTCTTTAATTCAATGATAATCTTTGTCTTGTGAATGTTTTGTCTTCTTAAAATTAAGGGTTCAAGTCCCCCTTCCCTCTCTCCTCCCAAAAAAAAAAAACTATTGAGACTGAGTCAATTTAGTTGTATCCAATTTTGCATTTTTCAAGGCGGTATCATTATACGATACGTATAACCCCCAAGTCTAAGTCGTGAAAATTGTATCTTAGTCGTCAGGTTATCGTCACCAAATTAGTCGAGACGAGTCCGTGATGCCACGATATAACATAAATCTCTCATCACGTTTCACATTTTTTTTAGGTCATAGCACTTGATACCACGCCACGTTGTCGCAATCAATGTGTTTCAAAATCTTCCAAGCTATGAAACACGGATACTTTGTCGAGGTTGACGTACTCGTATCTGAAATCGTATCCGATATAATACTCATCGGATACTCGATGATATGTATCTGATACACCTCCTACGTATCCGATAATTATGATATTTCACAGATACTTTTGTAATCGAACAACATATATAATTTTTGAGTTAAACTTTTAACATCTTTTTTCTAATTTACATACCATACAATATATTAACAAAAAATTCATATTACTTCAAAGGCACATAAGTGTTTTTTAAGTATTATCTACAATTATATGTCAAAAGAGTATAAAATAAAACTACTATATTATTATTTTAGCAAAAATTACTTGTAAATATTAAGTAAATATTAGCTTTGATTCCTTTAATTAATCACTTTACGTTGTGAATATACTTCAGCAATACGATATATATTTTCTTAAAACTAAAAAAAATTACTAATTTCCCTTATTGTATATTAAAGAACTATCAAAATATATAAGTATTAAGTTAGTTCAAAATAATAAAAATATTAAATATATTTTATTATAGTCGTATCTTAGCCGTACATGTATTCTATTTTTTTAGACTTTATCGTATCACCGTATTCATATCGTATCGTCCATATCCGTGTTTCATAACTTCCGAGTCTTCGACCAATACTGCAACCTTATACCATGGCCTAGTGCCCACACCTCAAATCAAATCGGTTTTCTACGCACAATTTGATTTGAACAGACACAATATAAAGGTAAATTTCTAATGGATCCCCCTTACACCGACACAATTATACAAACACCCCCTCACATTTATTCATCCCCAGAATCGTGTCACTAACTTGATTTCTGATCTTGGTGGCGCAAAATGAGATGCAAAAAACTAGTACAATTTGATGAACATCCAAAAGAATGCTTTCTGCAATGCAGGGAGAGGCTTCTGCATTTTTGTTCCATTTTCTGGACAAACCAAACGATAAATGAAGGACTTAATACACAGGTGGGCTAGGTGAAGCTGTGCATTACAATTGATCCAAGGGGAAAGGGTGAATATCTGCTGAATCAATGTGCCAAATCTTTACTGATGCCTTGACACTCACTCCTGTGGCATTGTTAAACAGGAACACCCGTGCTGCTCCATAAATTGCTGTTGTAGGATAAACTCGCGATGTGATGACTGTCCTCCCTCCTTGAGCGAAGCTCTCCACTATGGAGTGATCAACCTGAATGGATTTCTAACAATTTAGATTTACGCACCAAGCAGAAGAATGCAGAGTGTTGGATTTGGTTTTAGAACAAAATGACAGAACATCTTCTGAGCTTTGGCTTCCCCTCTAAAATACTCTTCAATACTCAGTTTGTTACACAATGATGGAGTTTCATTTTGGTATGCCTCCACTATGGAGTGGCACTTTAAGGTATTCTACAACTAAAATTCTTCCAAAAACACACCATGTTTTTCCCTTGGACCCTAGTTGAACTACGAGTGCCTTAATAACATATTTTGGTGTCTAATTTTCCCTACTTTTTTTTGGCTTTTTAAACTAATGTGCAATTCAGTGAAGCAAATTTCACGATCATAAGGTCGTGATCGATTTGCATCAAAGATTGTAGTAGTATTCATAATCAAAACATTAAAGAGTATTATTTGAATCCAAAACAATAATAAGAGATTCTCACGCACCAATAGCCTCATAGATAATTTTTCACCATTGAGCACAGGAACCTTGCTTCCATAAACTTGTTTGCCAACATCAGAAGCTTTTGATGACCTGCATTAAACAAATAGTATTTTCTTGTTTCCATAAGCTTATCCATTGATTTACTTACACTATAAGAAATGTTACATTTAAGAAACAAGAAACTTCTGTGCATGGGTTAAACAAGAGCATATTAAGAAGCTGCACCCCAGCAGTCGTTAACGATTTGATTCGCAAAATATGCTACAGGCTATTGTAATGCACAACACATACGCTCAAGAGAATATTAAGCAGGGTAAATGAAGACAAGAGAAAATCACGACTAGAAAAAAGAAAAGAAATAAACCTTGTTTCATCGGCACAGAAGTATGTCTCAGCACTCCCATCAGTGCCTTTAGCGTTGTAGAAATAAACAGGTGTAAGCTCAGAATGAGTTTCGTCAGCGAGAACTAGAAGGCCAAATGGTCCTAAAATGCCTCTACTGCGAGCCCCACCGCTAGTAGTGCAATTGTAACCCACATCAGCCTCAACGGTCGCCTCCAAGGCTTCTTTATCTATTTCAAACACGGCAACTATGTCTAACTGTCACCATTTCCAAACAATTGTCTCGTGTAATTTTTCGTGACAGCTATTTACATAAAAGCTATAGTAATCTTAATTAGTTTAGCAAAATGAAGCCCAAACCTGTGTAGCAGAGCCCACAACGAGTGGCACAACTGATCCTGGATGAAGATCCACCTCTTCGAATTCATGACTGCCCAACCTCAAACTCTCCACTTCCTCAACGGGCCATTGAAGTATATTGGTTCCTGTCTTCTTGTCAAACACCACAGTCCTTGGAATTGTCTATGGAACACAACAACGATTACAATGCATCACAATCTATCTTTCTACTCCAGAGTTACTGAATTCAAAAAGTTCAGCCCTCTAATTTGATTTCGTTCATTTACATTATTGCAAAACCAACAGGTAGCAGCCAACACATTTGAAGGTATGGACTTTGATTGTTGGATCATCTTTTACAAGAGGATTCATTGGATTATTATTATTAATGTTTTGCTTGTGGATTCATTAGATTATTAATCCACTCATGGACCATCCAAATCAAGTTGAGATGGAAGATCAATGATATAATAGCATTTCTAAGAGAATGACTCAAACTTCAAAATAGCTAAAAATTAGCTATTCAAAGACAAAAAACATATTCCAAAAAAATATGTTATGAGTAGGTAAAATACATTATTGCTTGATGCTCTATTTATGTAAAGTATCACTATAACATTATGTATAAATAATTTATAATATATTCTCTTTCCTCTTATCATTTCTCACCTCTCTTGCCCACTCTTTGTCCTTCCCTTCATTTTTTTTCTCTCTCTTTAATTGTCCCAACAAAGGTACAAGATATGAGAAATTATATATAAAAGAATTAGTTAAAATATCAAAAATCTATTGGAGTATGAACTAACAAAGTGAGGATCTAAAATAGAAAAAGTGCATTTTTGAATAACTAAAATACAAAACCTTATTGAAAATGTTTTAAAAAGGAAATCACATGGATTGGAAAGGAGCCCTTATTTTTGATTGGCAATAATAAAATATTAGAGATAGATTTTCTCATATTTTTCTTTGAAACTGTTTTGGGTATATGAAATTTCAACTAAACTCAACAAAACTTTAACCTCAAACTTAAATTTGAGTTGATGGGTATTCATTAAAGGTGTCAAAATATAATATGACCCGTTAACATAACACGAAATTAAAGAATTTGGGTCTTACTTAAGTCATCTGTTTAATAAACGAATGGATATGAAACAACATGTTTAATTAGGGGTATCTATGGGCCGGATCAGGCTAAACTCGTGAAATTTTTTTGGGGGCGGGTTTAGGTAGTATAGGCCTAAACCCTTACTCAAGTGAGTTATTGGGCTAGGCGGGTCGGACTTCGGATAGGGGTAGGTTACCAGTAGCCCAACCCGTGAATCTATTGAGCGGCCTTGTTTACGGACTTTTTTATATACATCTTTATTTAAAAATAATTAATATTTTTATAACTTAATATTTGTGTAATTATATTTTTGAATCAAAAGTAAAGGCAAAATGGATAAAAATAAAATGATGAACTATATTCAATAAAATGAATAAATCCCAACTAAGTTGACATTTACTAACTTATCTGTCATCTGCATTATTCTACAATTTAAAACTTATATGTTTAATATATGGAAAAAAAAATAATACATTATTTATAATATCTAAATTTTTAAAACTTCAAATTTCGATATTGAAAGATTTATTTTAAAATTTTAAATTTAATGATATAAAAATATAATTTTTTTCAAATGAAGGGTGGGTGGGTAGGTGGGCTAGGCTTGACGGGCGGCCTCTTGGGCCGGGCTTCAGATCGGATAATGGGTTTGGGGCAAATTCAAGCCTTTTTTTTAAGGATATCGGGCTCAGACTCGAGCGGACCTACTATAGGGTCTATCGAGCTTTGAGCTTATTTTTTTGGGCCGGGTAACGGGATCTGTGGGTAATCCGACCCATGGACACCCCTATGTTTAATAAACAAATTAGATATAAGTGAAGCCAATCAGAATAAAAACACGACTCGTTTATATACTAATTATATTCGATTCAAACACGACAAGAACTCGATATGACATAATTTGTTAGACACAAATTGGTAAACGATTCAGGTATGTGTGTAGCATTTTTTAACATGAATCTGTTTCGACCAACACTATAGATAGCCTACTATTCATCCATGATAGAAGTAACAATTTGCAACTTTAGTATAATAAGACTGAGATTTGTAAAGATGAAAATAGATACCAGAACAGAGGCCCAGCCCTTCGCGATGTCAATATCTTCACTATCGGTTTCTCCAATCCATGCCCACAGGATCCTCCTCTTCTTATATTGGTCATAAAACGTCTTTGATGCATAGTATTTTCCATAATCGACCCGAAACCTGAAACCCACATCCAAATCCGGGTTGTCGGGGGTCCATGTGTCCGTTATCGGATCATAGGTCCCGAGTACATAATAATCATGCGCATAATCTTGTAAACTAGCTTTCAGAACATGCTTAATGCCCGGCCCATTTGAAGATGTGTCCAACCCGTTTGGCTCAGTAGTAGAAACCGGGTAAAAGTCGACACACTCCCACATACCCGTGCCTGGAATCGCATACAGACTCTGATCCGCCAGCTCGTAGCTTATGAAGTCTGTTGTTTTGTAAACAAACGCCATTCCATCCTTATTAACCTTTGACCCGACTGTGATCCGCCACTTACCATCCAGGCCGAGCCATGCTGTGGTCGGGTCACGAAAGTCATCATCAGCAATGCCCGATGGAGGCGCCATCACCGGGTTACCAGGGTACTTGACCCATTCAAGGAGAAGAGGATCGGACACGTTGGAAGGGTACGCAAGATTTTGCACCTGCACAAAATCATTGGTGGACCCAGTGTACAACATGATGATCTGACCATCAGGAAGGATTGTGGCGGACCCGGTCCATACACCATTGAAATCGAACCAGCTATCACGAACCATCGCCAAGGGAAGGTGGAGCCAATGAATTAGATCCCTTGATACAGCATGGCCCCATGTGATGTTGCTCCAAACGGCAGAGTCAGGGTTATATTGGTAAAAAAGATGGTACCACCCCATATGGAACAATGGACCTACAAAACATGAAATATTAGTCTCAGATTAAATAGAAGATTATTATTATCAAAAAAAAAAAAAAAATGAAAGATAACTACCACGAATAATATATATAACCAAATATTTGTCCATAGCACTTATTTGTAATTATTTGTTTTATCGTGATTTGTAATTCTTTCAAATGATAAAAACACATTAGAGTAATAATAATTAGTTTCATTTTTGATAAGAAATTTTAATTATTTTTATATGTTCATACTATGTATATCGATTTTTAATTTTTTATGCTTAAATAAATTTTTAAATATTAAATATAATTTCAATAAATATAAATTTAGGAACTTTTATAATCCATTAAAAAAAAGTAAAAAATACTAATATGTCCACTCTAATTTTTTTTTGTTTTTATTTTGGCTCGTTCTCGTGCACAAACAATATTATTAGGAATGGTGATCACAAACTCTTGAACATTTTGAAAAAAACTACAAATCAATTATTGGATTCGATAGAGATTAAAGAACATGATGCAGATAGGGATTATACAACAACATACCACTAGGATCTGAAGCAGAAGCCACCAGGTTTCCCCCGCAAAGCAGCCATGAGAATCAACAGAAAAGGTCAGATGAAGGTGTGTGTATAATGGATATATATTCTTAGGTTAAGACTACGGTGGCCAAAAGGACCATATTCTTATGCACTAAGGTTTGAAAATTTAGAAACAGCTAAAGTGCTAAACTATGCCAGTTACCATTCATCCAGTTCTTTACAGGTTGAAAATGGTAAGATGTTCTTTGCCAAGACAACATAGAATTGGTCCAAGGATAGTCCTCAGTTTCGCCGCTAATCTCCCGGAAAGTCTCTTCTGATACACCCTCAGATTCCCCTCTCGATGGAGGTTTCAAAGTAACGGGTGAAACCGATTTTGAAGGCGAAGACTTCTGCTGATGGGCATTGACTTCTGACTGGGGTTCTGACCCTTGATTGACGATCAGATATACAAAAGAAGACATAAAGAGTCCGGAGAGGAAGATACCGACGAGACCCTTCGACGGTCGCCGGTAGTCCGCCGGAGAACCGGTGGATTCATTTTGTTCTGGTTTGGGAGTGTAGGATGCTGGGTTGGTGCCCATCGTGGGCAGTGGGTGAATTCACTGATGAGAGAGAGATCTGCTCATTTTAGTAACTATCTACCTTCACTTGCAAGAATAACACCAATTTTGATACCCTTAGCTGTTATTAAAATGGATGTAACTCAACTCGCATGAGTAGTTCAAGGGTTAAATTTAGAATGAGTTATAGACGTAAACGTCAAAGATTTGACTTTCATTAATATCTCCCGAATATAAGTAATACCTGTGATTTGTGAGACATTTGGGGTTGCTCTTGCTGGGAAGATACCTTACTTTGAATAAATAACTTGTTAATTAAGGAAAAAAAATGGATGAAATGTATTTTAAAAAAAGGTGGTCGACTTTTCATGATGAATGCATATAATAAGATCATCTCTTGCGGTTTAGAAATTGTACAGACAACTCTTGAAATTTCACGCACTTCTCGAGGTAACTATAGAAGGATTTCATAACATTTTACAAAAAAAATGAATGTATCTTCGATATTATCTTGTCGCCACATTAACAATTTGTGTCACGAAATCTAATTACTGATAACCTATGGGTGAAACAGACTTTTGGTGAAAACCAAATTTTACCCAAAAAAAAAAGAATTGGGTGTGACTTAAAATTTTTGAACTAAAACTATGTTTTTCAGGTATATTTTTTAAGTGTACGAGGTATATGATGGGGTAGGGCAAACATCACAGCCAAAATGGACAATACAAAAATGTACATATATCACTCGGAAAATTGAAAACTCCTAGGGTAAATACATCTATACCTTCTAAAGTTTTTCACTAATAAACACAGACTCTCTCAAGTATGATAGTTTAGTGTAAAGCCACCTATTAATAACGTTTTGCATATGACATTGACGAAAATATCAATTTATTTTTACATAGAATCCAAAAAAAAAATTAATGCCTGGACAACTTAATTCAACTAATGAATATTTCCAACACATATCCAAACAACACTAAACCAATAAATAACCCAATTGTCTTATTTTACACTTGATTTTCCCCAATAACGCACCATTACATGGACGACCACCACCATCTCCACCTCTATTTCTCTCTCTAGTTGCACTTATATATACACCAACTATGTGAAGTACCCAATTGTTTGTATTATTTCTCTTTCGATCCATCTCTCGCTATCTCTCTCTACAAGAAGTCCCGAAGCCCCCCACCCCGCTTGCCTCCTCATCTATAATTAACTAATTGGCGAGCTCCGAGAATAGTCGGAGCCATACCCAATCAAAAAAGTTGATTCACTATTCCCACGCTCCCACCTCCATTCCATGGTCCTCTGCACGAGGATCATGTCCCAAGAGTTAATTTCCTCCACATAAATTGTCATTTTAAACCTTGCTATGTGTCTCCCCTACACTTCCACTCTATCTCTTTCAGAGATATTGCAAATCTCCTTGGACTATTCGTCTCCTCCCCCCACAAATGAGGGTTGAGGTGTTGCCAATTTGATAGGTTGAGTTGTGTTTTTTGTATTTGGTGGGTTGATGTTGTAGATCAATGTTTGAAGGGAGGGCTCGGTGTTGTGGGAGTGACGGGTGGGAGAGATTTAGTGATTTATTATTGGTAAAAATGGGGTGTTTTATGGAATTTATGGAGGGTTTTGATGGAAAAGCACAAGTGGGGGATTTTGTGGGAGCTTGGTGACCTGGTCTGGTTATTTTAGGTGTATAAAAATATGATGATATCATCTAGATGACATCATCAAGATGAGACGTTGATTCAAATGTAAAGAGGTCTGTGCATATCGATGAAAAATCCTAGACGATTTGAATGTAATTTACCAAACTCTTACGCGGAGAAGTAGTGGATCCATTTCACCTTCAACGCCGCCGGGCACAAAACAATTAAATATTTTTTATTTTGAGAAAATTATCTTGTTATCTTCATAAAAAAAATATGTATCTACTTGTCGACACGTCAGCTTGAGTTTACCAACCAAAATTTTTGTCCAGACACAATTGTTTTTTCTAAATTCGTTTATTAAATATTATATCTTATCAATGTTTATTTAAAATTTTGTATTCCACACTGATTTAAAATATAAAATTTAATAAATAATTTGATAAGAATAGAATTGCACTTTCTATCCAACCTCCAAGTGAACGATTGGCCTTAGACTCGAGTAAAGCTAAGCATCGAATCCTAAATTAACTTCTAAATTATTAATTTAATTTATGTTAAATAGTTATTTACTCTAAAAACTTAAGTTGTTAAAGAAGATATAATTTAAATATTTATATTTATATTTCAACAAGTCTTTTCAGGTACATGCTATATTTTGGATATAGAACGCGAAAATCTTTTTAATAATTAGGATAGCAAGATAATAGAATATATGACCTATTGCTTTAATATTATGTTAAACAATTATTTGCTCCAAAAAACTTATACTAATATAAAGAGTGTAAGTTAAGTATTTATAGTCCAACAAATAATTTAGACTTAGATGGTATGCAAATTTTAGACTGCAACGAATAATTTAATTTTTTTATGTGGTATTATGTTTGTTTATATCTAGAAAAAAATGACAATAATAAAACTGAAGACAAAGTGTCACCGTTACATTGAATATTAAATTCTAATCTTGTTTTTTTGTTCAATTTAGAAATAAAAAAAAAATCTTTACTTGTAATACCATCTTCAATGGTGACCCATACCGTTACTTAAATTTGAGTAAAAAAAAAAAGTAAAAAACTTGATTTAGTATAGAGCTCTCTAATAGAGAAACCCAAATTTAAAGGAAGAGAAATATAAATTTAAAAGAGAATAAAATATTATCATTGGATCTTTAAAGGAGGGTGTAATCTTATTATTAAAAATTTGAGTTTAAAAAAAGAAATTCCTTCGTTTGATATGAGTAAGGATCTAGCATTGGAGAAGCATTTTAGACTATTTTTACCTAAATTTAAATTTGGGTTAAAAAAAAAAAGGGCGGTATATACTCTAATAATAGATATAAAATGGAGTGACACACAAAATATTAATTTTAGAGGGAATCAGCCCAAACTATTTAACTTAGGACAAGGTATCTGAACTCACAACAAAATGGAAATAAATTGTCTGAGGGAAAGTATATAATTATATGTAAACCAGAGCCACGAGCCATAATTTAAGCAGCAATGAATGCTTTTATCGTGCCAGAGGTGTTTTTTTATGTTCAACGGTCAGGAGTGTTCGAATTAATTTACGCGTGCCTTAACTAATCTTTTTTTCGATCAGATCAAAGACAGACCATTCACACAAAAACTAAGATCGCTCTTGAATACAAGACAAAGCAGTCTTCTTAAGATACCAAAATTTTAATGCAGCAAAGGCCAAATGCCATATCAAATTGGTTGTTAGGCACATTTAATTAGAATTAAAAAATTATAAGAGGGTCTAGAATATGAGTTTCAATAAACCCACACACTAATTTTTTTCATCCCGAATAATGTAGTAGAATCATCTCTATTAAATATTAATGAACCCACATATTTGATAAGAATAGTAGCATTACTCTATGAGGCTTGACACAAAAGTGATCATAAAATAAGAGAGATTATACAATTTATTCAAAAACAATTCTAACTCTTTTTTTGAGTCATAATTTAGCCCTATTGAGTCATAACTGAGATTTTTGAGTCGTAACTGCCTTCAAGTGGATGGAGCTAACTCTAATTTATTTATAAATTTTGGTACCGTACCAGTAACTTGGTTTCTTGTTTTGGTGAAGTGATGTAGGATAATTTGATGAAACATGCACAAGCCCAACAGTTCATTGCATCAAGGGCAGTTGGAAATCTCAATTTCTTACTCATTTTCCAGATGTAATACTACAGATATAGCCAATGGACATGCCTAAATCTAGAGATGCAATCGGATGGAAAAATGAAATAAACAATATCACGTTTGGTTGCACTTCTCCTTCTTCCATTTTCTGGACAACCAAACGAAAAATGATGAACTTAATACAATAGGCTGGCTAGGTGCAGTTGTACATTACAACTGTTACAGGGGGAAAGGGTGAATATCTGCTGAATCCATGTGCCAAATCTTTACTGATGCCTTGACATTCAATCCTGTGGCATTGTTAAACAGGAACACCTGCGCTGCTCCATAAATTGCTGTTGTAGGATAAACTCGCGATGTGATGACTGTCCTTCCTCCTTGAGCAAAGCTCTCCACTATGGAGTGATCAACCTGAATGGATTTCTAACATCTTAGATGTATGCACTGAGCAGAAGAATGGAGCATATTGGATTTGTTTTAAAACAAAATGACAGAACATCTGCTGTGCTTTGTCTTCCCTTCTAAACTACTCTTCAATACTGAGTTTGTTACACAATGATGGGGTTTCATTTTGGTATGCTTCAACATTTCACGAGATGTAATAAGGAGACTTTGAAGTCTTGAATGTGAGTGCAAAAGCACCTATAGTTACTATCACTTGTTTCCATGCAAAATAAAACAGACCATTGTGTGGCATTCTAGTGGCACTTCAAGGTATTCTACAACTAAAATTCTTCCCAAAACACACAATGTCTGCAACATGTCTTTCCCATGGACCCTAGTTGAACTACGAGAGCCTTGGTAACACATTTTGGTGTCTAATTTTCCCTACCTTTTTTTTGTTCTTTTTAAACTAATGTACAATCCAGGGAAGCAAATTTCACGATGATAAGATTGTGATTGGTATTACATCAAAGACTGTAATAGTATTCATAACAAAAAAATTAAAGAGAATTATTTGAATCCAAAACAATAATAAGAGATTCTCACGCACCAATAACCTCATAGACAATTTTTCACCTTCGAGCACAGGAACCTTGCTTCCATAAACTTGTTTGCTAACATCAGAAGCTTTTGATGATCTGCATTAAACAAATAGTATTTTCTTGTTTTCATAAGCTTATCCATTGATTTACACTGTAAGAAATGTTACATTTAAGAAACAAGAAACTTCTGTCCATGGGTTAAACAAGAGTATATTAATAATATGCACCC